TCTCACCCATGACAGGCAGCTTTGTGATGGAAGAAAATATTACAGCTGGAATAGCCTCTCTTCTGCTCCAATGGATTTAGAATATATTACATCTTTACTGTATCAGCTTAGTATTTTTTTTTGCTCCTGATGGATTAAAGATAAACTTGTGTGCACTGTTATTGTAGTAGTCCTTTGAGACCCTACCCTTTTATGAATCAAAAAACCGTTTGCTGAAAGTCTTATTTTCCTATTAAATAGCATTTGAAATTCTGTTTTGAAGGAATTTTTGCATGTGTTAAATCATCTAAAACTAAATTTTAAATGAACCTGGGATTTTAGTAGGGGACATTGGGTATTTTCCCTGCTACATGGAGGAAGATCTGCGGGGTATCTGGTCTTCTGAGTATTTTTGAAGCAGTTTGACTGGCCTAGACACCATACACTAAAACACACAGACACTTGCTAGGCATTTGATAGCTGGCCAGTCAAGCAGACAATGGACATATTTTGTGTAAAGCCAATATCTATTTTAAACCAAAACCACTGTATTCTTGCTATTTCAGTCAAAAAAGTATAGAGCTCACATTTGTGTTGTATATGTGGAATTTAATACCACAGATACGCTTGATAAATCTTGGGTCCCAATTTCTTGGACAGCAACTTCCAGAAATCCTGATCTGCACAGCTGCTGGTGAAAACTTTTTGGAGCAGCATGAAGACTCATTGAGCACATATGAAAGTTTATCACTAGTTAAGTAAATGTCTTAATCTCTCATCATCATTGTTAACATCACAGTTTGCCCTTACTTCCAGCATAAAGTTCTACTTTTAAGCATTGGAGAAAGAAGAAACAAAGTGATGAAGTGGGCATACCTGAAGCTTTTACTCATTTGGGGAAAACTATTGTGAGTTGGATAAAACAGTATAAGATATTAAATTATTCACTATCAGAGAGGTTTACTCCCCCCCCCCAAATATTCTAAAGTTTAAACTGGAGCAAAAGGCACATAAATGAAAAAAAGAACAATGAATTAATGCTGAACTCCTGGCTGCTTAGTGTACTAAGATGCACTAGAGTAGTCCCATTGAATTAATGGCATTTGGTGAGTTAATTCATCCTTGATTCAGATAGACCTATTCAGTGGGAAACAGCAGGATTTCAGGCACCTTACTGTAAATTCTTAATTTTTTCATCATGAATCTGATTAATATTTCTACTTCTTGTCTGGGTTTATTAAAGATACAGTGCTGAGGAGTTCCTCACTCTAAAGTCATATTGTATAAAACTGAACATGTTTCTAACAAATTTGGTGAAGCAATCTTTTTGAGTGCAGATCCACTAAGTGAATCAAATTATATACAGTCTTTTTCCTGACTGATAAATCTGTTTATATCTGATAGCACCGAACAAAACCTCAAATGTGTGTATTCATTAGCAAAGCATATCATTTTTCCTGCCTTGCCTTTGTAAACTTGCAGTTCTTGAAATCTTGTTCTGTGCAAACCTTCATACTGAATCTTTCTTATACTGAAAATGCTATAGCATAAATTTGCACACCATACAGTCTACTATTATTTGAACAGTAAGTATTTATAGCCTTCATTTTGTAACTAATGCATATGCAATTTAAAGTGCCCATTGCTTTAAAGCAGAGATGCATGCTAAAATCATAATCGTAACTGACCAAAATGGCTGCGGACCAGTTCACAGTAAGTTAGCTGAAATTGTGATGGATCCAGTCCTTTCCCAAACTAAGCATGTTGGAAGTGACTAGAACCTCACTGATCTAACACAGCGCTGGCATTTGAGCTGAATCCCTGAGCTAGAGGAGGAATGAGTCTGGTGTAACGCAGCTCCTTCACTCTGCCTCTTCTCTCTCCCCATTTTTTATTCTTCTCCTAACAGGTCTTAGCTAGCTGAGTGCTTCTGCTAGGAATTTGCTCTGTTGGCAGATTTCTGAGTTCAGCTGGCAGATGAGAGTTTTGTTGGTAGAAGTGTATTTCTTCTGCTAAAATGGATTTCCCACTGAGTGAAGAGGGTTGTGCCTAATTGTGGCCTCCTACAGCTACCACCTAGTTGAGATGGCATGGCTTTGTCCATCAGTAAATATTGTGTGTATTATAATAAGACATTAACATTTCCTGACTAATACTGTGGTATGAATACACCACAGATATCCTAAGTTGCTTAACTGAGAGGTTTCCTCCATATTGCACATAAAATTAATATATAACCACATTAGTTATAACTCAAGGAAAGAGAATTCTAGGAATAAGCTCTAAATATTATAATTACACAGCCATAAATATAACACATGGCTGTCAAGAGCTGAAAACTAAATATAATCTTTTGGCAGGGAGAGCAAAAGAAACACCATCATTGTAAAACACTGGGATGAGCATTGGCTATGTTGTCAGGCCTTATCTGTCACTCATGTTGTGGCAATTTAGCCACACAATCCATTCCATTACTCTTAAGAGTCACACTAATGCCATGAACTAGGAGATGTATATTTAATCTCTTCCCTGCTTCAATGGTGACATTTGCCAGATGTTGAAGTCAGAGCTGAAGTTACTTTTCCCACTACAAACATTGTGGCAAGAGATTACTTGTTACATTTGATTTAGCCATGTTATACTTTTCCTCTGATCTGGGTTTTGCTGTATGTTTTGGTTGTGCACTAACAGGTATCTCACATGTATGACTTAGTAGTACTGGTTTCTGTTATATTGTTCAGTTCCCCAGTTAGCAAATTGGAGATAATGAGACAACTGTTTCAAAATGAGGGGGGAAATACACATTCCGATGGCACTGGAAATGTGGGGATTTGTAAATGTTTGTGATGCTGAATCAGTGGCCCAACGCTCTAAAGATGCATGGAAACATTAAGATCACTTTGGTGACTGCTGCTTGTCCAAATCTCGAAGTGCTTTGATGATTCTCAATACTGCCTGTGCTTCTAAACTTCAACGTACTGTAGAAGTGATCCTGAGATTTATTCCAAAGCTTGTAAATGTTACCTTTTGGACCATAATTCCCAGAATTCTCTGGCCAGCATAGCTGGGGGAATTCTCAAGGCTGCAGGCCAAGAAAGTAGTATTTAAAGCCTATCTGCAGTATAGATATTCTTTTGAATAATAAAAATTGGGGGTCTATCACAACAGCCATAGTAAATTTCTTTCCATTTCTTTTAATCTTATCTCTTAATCTATTATCTCTGTTCATTAAGACATTTACCAGGTCAAACAGATTTATTAAGACTATGATTATATATTTCTTAAAACTGGAACTTTATTAAAAGTAGAACTTGGCCAGAGTAGCAGCCATTAGAAAATGTGGAGATGATATTGAGCCATGGACAGTACCACCATTTTGCTGAGAGATCAGAAATTTCCCCTGTTTGTCAGGAAATTGTAAACATGGTTTCTTTTCTTCCAGTGCATTCAGACAGAGCAACACATGATCCTGATGTCCCCTCCAAAGCACTGATTAAGCAGAAGTTCAGATTTTTAACAGTGCTACAAAATTCAGAGTTTAGTTTCAGCTCACTACAGAAATAATTGTACAACTCGAGGCATGTTTAAAATAATATATTGGTATATCTGACATTGTGGCACCTTAAAAGACTGACAAATTTTGTTTGGCGTAAGCATTGTTGGACTGCAGTCCTCTTCATTCATCCACAGTTTGTAGTAGAATGTTTCTTATTATTGACAAGTGTCTGCTTAAATGTATTTAAATAAGCATGTGTATTCTTGACATTCCCTTTGAAGCATTTAGAACAGCTCACCATAATGTTCTGGGAATAAGTTGGAATGCTGTCGTAATGATGTCAGTTCCTAGCCAGGCTCCAAAGATGAGAAAAGACTGTAGAACTAAAGCTAGTGAAGATCCTTTGTCGTATTTTCTGAAATGCAATTCAGGTATAGATTTGGATATGATGCAAAGATGTCAGGTCCTGACATCCAAATATTTGCACATGTCAGCTGCATGAGGAGAATCCCTGTCCCACCTCCTTGTCAGTGTGGTTGGCTGCCAGGTGAGATGGGAGCAGGCCAGCTGAGCTCCTGCCCGGATTGGTGCATTGCTAAAGCAGAAAGGCACCAGTAGTGCACAACAAAAGCTGGTCTGAGGGAAGGGATGAGGGTCTGCATAGCAGCATAGCTGCTCCTCCATAAATTTCTACTTTTTTGCAGCTTATTACTGGATTTTAGCCATTGCTAGGCATCAGAGGACCTAAGGATAAGCCTGAAAATTAGGCAGGAATGCTGTAAATCAGGCTCTGATTGAGATCAGAAGTGGGCCTATATTAACCATGTACTCTTACCGATTCCTATGGAAGGCTTATAAAGTTCGAAACACTATTATATTCTCCGGTAGATGCAGTGGGAGCTGACTGGATGGGATGTTTTCCACCAGTCTTTCTCCTAGGGAATTCATATTCAGAAATATTTATTTATTTTCAACAGTTTTGCATTATTTTATGACAGATCTACATTTCTTTTGTCCCTTTTATTTAAATACTGGCATGCTTTAACCAGTGTAACAAATATGTTCTGCTACAGGCACATATTTAAACCACGGATGGATCTAATTGTGATTTTCCCCCTGAAATATTGTTATGGTTTTCCTTTTATAAAGTCCATGGAAACATAGGAGCAGATATGTAATTAATAAAATATTGTGCGTCTATTTTAGAATAGTTCTTAGTGCTGTAACTTATAGTTCATCTCAGACATATTGCTCTGTAGCAAATTGCTTCTCATTTGTTAATACAAAGGGCACAAACAATATGGCGTATGTTGAAGTTTGTAAGTCGCAGCTTTTAAAAAATATTTTTGAGCCAAAATCTTAACATGTTAACCAAGCTTATTGAATAAATAAGGCATTATATTATAGTTTTTTTGCTAGGATGTGACAAGGCACTGTGAACTCTTTGCCATTTTTAAATGCCTTCAGTTTCCAGGAAGGTTCAGTCCCTCTAAATGCAACTTTGATGTTATGGTTTTCTCAACAGGCACTTCTGCTCAGACCACCCTATGTTGGAATACTTCATATCATGATGAGGATCTGATCCTGATTGGAGATACTGAATGCCATCAAAATACAAGTAAATAAGAATAAAGATAATGATATATTAAATACAAATAAATAACAATGAAATGATGATGAACAGGTTTACTACACTTTGATGAACTGAAGTTACATTTATGGGGGAAAATGGGTTTCTACAGAGAAACATACTGCTGTACAACAGTGGCATACTGCATGTGTTCTTGGCAGAGACACATACCTTGAGATATTACAGTGCTTTGTGTTGCAAGGTGTGATTGCCACATGAAATATGAGTTATATTTGACATGGGCAGTATGCCTCAATTCTAGCATTACTGATCAAACAGAAGTTGATATCTAGTATTCAGAGACTGTACAAATTTTAATTTTGTTGTTGAAAATTACACCTGTTTTACACATTCCTCAGAAGAGAGGAAATGCACAGTTAATGTATTTAACATATAGTCAGGTGGAATATTAGTCTAACTGGCATCTTCTAACATTTTTCTAATCTTATGAAAATTCTCTACTACAGTTGCCAACAACAAAATACAACATTATGGATTCTCTACCATATTTTGGAATCATTGATTGCTAAACATTAATTAGACATTTCATGTTTTAATCGTCTGGTTGTTGATTACTAAAAACTGCAAAATTTGGAGAAGTAGACAGTTCTTGTTTAAAAGATCTTCATCATATCATTCTTCCCATTGACAATTTAGACAGGTGTTGGGTTCCATGAACAAAAGGAATAATCAGATGGTGTGCCGATATGAACTGAAATGAATGGGATAGGTCTTGAAAATAGGAAGCAGTGGCTGTTGTCTCCTGTGAGAAGTCAGTGGGCAAGAGTAATGGATTTCTATGCCATTCAGCTTGATCCCATTCTTTGCAGTGTAGCAGTTTTCAGCATTGTAGCTTTGTTAGTCTGTTTCTGCATGTATAATAAAAACAAGAACAAAGGATTCGTGACACTTTAAAGACTAACAGATTTATTTCAGTATCAGCTTTCATGGATTACAGTCCAGTTCCTTAGACACATGGATAAAGTGCAGCAAATTGTAATCTCAAGGGGGAAAAGCAGTCTGTTGAGACCACGTGGAAGTTTGGCTACTTAATCATACTTACATTTTGAAAAACTGCACAAGCCATAAGTGATTCCAAACCTTGAAAACATGAAGTTGGACTGTAAATTTAAGTCAGTGCAAAGTGAAATATTAATTTGAGCAGCAGCAAAAAATAATAGAACAAAGTGGTCTGATAGATAAAAGTCCCACAGCATTCAATAGGACTTGTACCTGAAAATCATGAAGGAAAGGTTAAGAACGTCAATATAAAATTCAGAAGAACTGTTGGTACACTATAAGTTAAATGTAAAAGCCGCGTGGCTCTTCTTAATTAAGTTTCTTATCCTCTTATGTGTGTATCGTCGTTGTTTAGTCATTTAGTTGTGTCCGACTCTTCGTGACCCCATGAACCAGAGCATGCCAGGCCCTCCTATCCTCCACTGCCTCCCGTAGTTGTGTCAGTTTCATGTTGGTTGCTCCGCAGACACTGTCCAGCCATCTCATCTTCTGTCGTCCCCTTCTCCTCTTGCCGTCACACTTTCCTAACATCGTCTTTTCCAAGGAGTCTCCTCTTCTCATGAGATGGCCAAAGTACTGGAGCCTCAGCTTCAGGATCTGTCCTTCCAGTGAGCACTCAGGGTTGATTTCCTTTAGAATTGATAGGTTTGTTCTCCTTGCAGTCCAGGGACTCTAAAGAGCCTCCTCCAGCACTACAATTCAAAGGTATCAATTCTTCGGCGGTCTGCTTTCTTTATGGTCCAGCTCTCACTTCCATGCATCACTACAGGAAAAACCATAGCTTTGACTATTTGGACTTTTGTTGGCAAGGTGATGTCTCTGCTCTTTAAGATGCTCTCAAGGTTTGCCATCGCTTTCCTCCCAAGAAGCAGGCGTCTTTGAATTTTGTGGCTGCTGTCTCCATCTGCAGTGATCATCGAGCCCAAGAAAGTAAAATCTGTCACTGCCTCCATATCTTCCCCTTCAATTTCCCAGGAGGTGATGGGACCAGTGGCCATGATCTTTGTTTTTTTGTTGTTGAGTTTCAGACTGTTTTTTGCACTCTCCTCTTTCACCCCTATTACAAGGTTCTTTAATTCCTTCTCACTTTCTGCCATCAGAGTGGTATCATCTGCATATCGGAGGCTGTTGATATTTCTTCCGACAGTCTTGCTTCCGACTTGGGATTCCTCCAGTCCAGCCTTTCACATGATGTATTCTGCAATACAATGTGTCTATATTTTCATATGATCTGATCTTTGTATAATATTTGCCTAGAAAACATTTTTCATTTTCATTTGTTGTCATATGAACTCCAAGAGAAATGCTCAAGCTATTCTTAAAACTAAGCTTACAAAAATCTATTCACACAATTTATCTTTAATCGGCACCTTTAACTGATGATTTACATATATGTATGCAGCTAGACAAACTAGTAAACTTTGTTTTGATTAGTGAGTTTTGTGAACTTATTTCCACGCTGCTTTAGAATTGTATCAATGAGTATGTTTTGCTTCTAGTATTATCAAAATGAAAGATTATAATTTTTCTTTAGTCTGCTATATACCAATATATATCAAAGATCACTTCTAGAGCAACTTGATATAAAAATACACTGTGCAATTCTATATATGTCTGCTCAAAATACAAGTCTTAACAAAATGGAAGTTGCCCACCCATGGATTATATAAATTTGCTTGATAAGGGCCTATGTAGTGTCGAAAATTAAAACAGATGACTAGGGAAGAATGGAAAAGAATGCCTCACTATTTATGTTACTAGTGAGTGATTCACAATATTGCATCTGTCCTGTTTGCATTAATCTGGACTATTTCTTATACTAAGACTATAGTGACCTCACACAATTCTTATAAAGTCCTTACAGCTACTCCAGTGTAGGGCATTTGGAAATTGTGCCTATAGTGAATTGTAAGTTTTGTACATGAGTTTTTGCATTTCTTTGGATATTCTTTCTGTACAGGAAGGGATCCTGTAGAACCTGAGTAGGCTTCAAATATGGATTAACAGTTAATTCAAAAGTATTTATATTTTCTTTTCTTTATCTTTCTGGACAAGCCCAAACCAACTTTGATTAGATTGTCCACATTCCTTCTTTGTTTTGAGAGAAAAAACACCCAAGGTGATTCGCCATAAGCTGATTTGTTGCCTAGACATGCCACAAATTCCTTTCAATTTCTTTTTTGCTCTGTATATAGCTATCTCTTGAAATTTATTTGTAGGAACTAATAAATGTTTGAACAATTGTAGTTGATCTAATAGCATTTATTATTATTATTATTATTATCCATTCATTTTAATTTTCTTAAAATTTAATCCATAGTTACAGTACTTTGATGAGTCTCCAGAGCATTTATCAGCTGAACTGCTTCATTACTGACATTAATGTATCACTGGCTCTGGGCTTCATTGCTAAAAATAATGCAGTTAGGAACATTACTTGTGTAGCTGCAGCCAGTCACTTAAGTTCAAGTGTTGTTTCCCCCTTACCTGGTAGTATAATTGTAGGGTGAGATTTGGAAAGAAATGTTGCTTATTTAAAAATAGTTGTTTCTGAGATTTCCCTCATTCATTTACATTGTTCTTACCTCCCCACCCCCCTCAGAATTCCATAGTTTCAAGACTACAAGGCCAGTCAGTCTGTTAAATTAACATAATGTAGTCACAGTTGTTTGCAATCCTAATAGCAAAACAGTTCAAGTAAAAAGGAGAAATAACATAGCAAGACCAATGTTTTCTGCTTAGAACTCCCCAGGCATGTTACATTGGCAGTACTCATGCAGGAATGGCAGTAATCATTGTGTTCTCTAACAGTTAGGATGACATCCTCTGTTGCCTGCAGCCACAAGGATTTGAACCCGTGGCAGCAAGAATGTAGTGTGAATCAGCTTCGAACAGCTGTTTTGACAAGAAAATAGCTACTGTACAGCCATATGGGAAAGAATGTATTGCTATTCTAGTCATAACCACTAAACTTAATCACATTGTCCCCATAACCCAGGAGGCCTCACATCTTCACATACAATGTTTCTTTTTTCAACTAATCCAAGCTTTGTAGAATAGATACTGAGTTCAATAGAAAAAGGATTCAAAACTGTCGACAAGTGTGTTCAGTGTTTCATTCTCAGGTTATGTGTCTAACGATATACGTTTGCAAGAAAATTAGTGGGGAAACCTTAACAAGGTAGAATGAACTTTGAAATAATAGGTGGTATTTTCATCTGAAGCAGTAGTTTCCAATCTCCATATGCTTTTGGTCTCCAGGGAATAGTGGTCAGGGATTCTGTGATTTGAAGTCCAGAAACAATTGGGAGAAAAGACAATATCTCATATTAGTTGAACTTGTCTCAACTGATCGAGAAGGGCTGAGAGTGCTGTATAGCTGAACAAGTTTTGTCTTCCTGAAGCAACAATTCAAGTATACATCTCTGAAGTAACCCTGGCCTCAATGGAATATGTCAAGGCAGAGAGCTTTTTCGATGGCCATTTCTCATGAAGCCCCATTACTGCACATTTATATCAGTACAAATGTTTCCTTTAAATCATTTTTTTAAAGAAATCAACAAAGCTGTTTCAGTCCTGACCATTCTAATTACAGGTATTTTTATCATTGTATTTCGGTTGCATTCTGTACCTTTCAAGTATTAATTGGTGGCATGGTATATGTTAGCAAGCAGTCCTAAAATGTTCAAATTCTTAGTATTTTTGGTTCTATGAAATAATGGGCTTCAGCTTTGTTTTAATTCATGGATTTAAGCTATTCTTAACTCTGAAGTAATAGGATGAGCCAGCCTTTTCTAACTATTCCACAAAGCATGCAGATCAGAGAGCTTTTTCAGGCTTGATGGCACACTTGATTGTTGGGTTGTCTCATCACTGTGGCACTACTGACTTTGAAGCCAATGAGGAATGTAAAATTTCAAAAGTTTAAAGTACATTAGATGTTTAAAAACATCCTCATGGAATCATTT